CACACAAACGCACATTCACACACACACACACACACACACACACACACACACACACACACATACATAAATACATCAACATGCGAGGATCGGTATCAATACAGAGAAATACGGTGTTGTTTAACCTGCACCCCCTTTTTTCTTTCAATGATCTCTCGTGTGGGGCTTGTGCAGGCTGCTTCATTGATTCTGTCTTCGAGTTCGATCATTTCTTAATTGTTTAATTTTCTGGCAGGCTACTTTTCTGTTTGTCTAAAATTTTTGGTGATAGTTCTTCAAAAAGACTGATTTTATTTAACAAGGGAATAAATTCAGCAAAATAATTGGTGCTTCATTAAAAGCAAGCTAATTTGCTGTTAACAATTTTTTAACAAGAAATAGAAAATTCAGCAAGAAATAATAGTAGCTACTTTAGAGTTTTATTTTATTTCTATGTTCTTGATTAGGTCGAACACGATGCAGTTTATGAATACATTAGGGCAATGATCATACCTTCAATGAAATGTTAATAATACGAGTAAAAGCCATAAGCTATCTAGAAATATTTTAATCGAGTTATCAAAAAGATCTGGATCGATTTTGTTGCAGATTAATTGGTTCATTAGAATCGTAAATCGATCGAATCATTGGATTCGGAGACGAACGCGAGAAATTTGAATCATGAAACAGCCCGTACGCACACTGTCTTCTCAAATCGTTCGAAACACTTCCCTATTTCTTCTGTTGTTTTTTTACGATCGTTGTATTCGTTATCGATACCTCGAGAGCGTTGCTAAATCATTTTTAAACATGTTTTCGGAAGCTTTAAAAGCGTGTGTGCTCGGCAAAGACGATCCCTAACGAATCCATTTTTGTTGTGTTCTGGAGTTGTCGAGGAGATAGGGAGAGAAAGAGTGATAAAGTATGAGTGCAAAGAGAGAGAGAGAGAGAGAGAGAGAGAGAGAGAGAGAGTGGGGGAGAGAGTGTGTGCGTGTGTGTGAAAGAGAGTGAAACGCCAGGCAATTTACTTAAAAAGAAAACGAAAGAAAATGTTATATATTGCGAGAACGCGTGTTTAATTTGTTTTTTCGATATATAGGTATATATTATACATATGTTCGAGTTGCTCGAGAAAAGATGGAAGAAATTATTCTTGCGTTATTACTTTTTTTTTTCTTTTTGTATATCGACGGCTGTACATGATCACGAGTCACGTTTATATATTGTCTCCTGGTGAATGAAAGGAACACATGTGAAGAGAATTACAATTATACATATTATTGTTTCATGCTCAACATTGTCATTTACTCGATCAATGAACGCCGGACCTTGAACACGACGATGCATCTGACGTATTTCACTCTGCAACTGTTTCACTGAACCCGATCTTCAACAGTTCCACTCCCTCTAGCACTTCTTCAAATTCTTTTCACCTCGTCTCAAGTATCTTTTTCGTTAAATATATCTTTTTCTTTTTTTATCAAGTCGATTCGAGAATTACAATCGTGCGCTCTGCAATTGACATTCTATTTAATTTTTCGTCAGACTCGATTATTCTAGACTCAACATATTTTGCAAGCTTTAAGTTAACATTTATCGATTATTATTAATTCCGATTCAAAGATATTCGAAATCTTTCTTTCGTATAATTCATCTTGGAAATGCTCTCAACTTGAGCCTGGAATTGTCTTGTCTTAATTAATGGCTCAATCACACGATTCTTGCGACTTCACTCGAGGTAAGTATTCGAGGTAGACTCGAGGTCGATGAGCGTTTAAACACGCGTTCGTGGATCACTATATCGCATGAAATTTCTGTTCCGAAATGTGTGTGCGTGTGTGGGTATCGATTTGACGTCGTTATCGCCATGACGATCGAGCTTGGAGATCGAAGTCCCGAGAGAGATGATCGTAATCGACACTGTTCATGTTCGTTCGATCGACTGACTTATTAAAAATTAATCAAAACGATTCCTGTAGTAGATATCTTTATTCGGGATGAACTTAACCCGACCGACTCGATCAGTATCGATTGCAGGAGGCTCGCAAACGTCTTGACACCTCGACTGCCACAGTGTCGTTGACAAAATAAATTCAATATTATTTAATACAAATTTAATATTGTTTAACACAAATTCAATATTAATTAATTCAGATGCAATATTATTTAATTCAGGTTCAATATTAATTGAATTGAAATTATTTGTAATTGTATTATAATCTGAATCTAGCCTAAATTATTATTCAAATAAAATTTTAATCGTTAGAAGATTGCAAGGACTAGCAAGATGTCAGTCAAAGTGTCAAGAGGAGACGCCAATTGTGAGAAAACGCGTGAACGTTCGCCCCCCGTAATCTCACCCTCTGTCTGCTCCTAGCTGTATTTGTATGATATTAATTAGGGTCGTAAGGTAGACTTACTATAAACTCTACTTGTAAATAAAGACACACAAGATTTATCCTGTATCGAAGTGCAATAATAAAAACATGTTTAATTAGTGCCAAAGTAATTTGCAAGGGATGAACAAGACACACGAATTCGCCGTACACTTTGTCCTATCGCGGAGCGGATGCACGCTGCGAGCGCGAGGAATGCACCGCGCGGCCAAAGCTCCTTTTATAAAGTGCCACACTTTATCGCGGAAGTAACGGGAGAAGATAAACGGTTTTCCGTGAACATCGCGGTAGAACACCATGAACAACGGAGTTTTAATCGCGCCGGACATTTTCAGGTGGCTGTCCTGTAATCGTCTTACGAGAAATTCCTAAACTCCGATGGATCGCCGTGAAAAAATGAGCGAGGCAATTGTTTCGTTTGCACGCTCGAAGAAAAAGTTACAAACATGAAGTATTCCAGATGTATAATTTTTTTGAAAAAGATCGGGTCTGTGAAGAATTGTAAAATAATTGCTCGGTTCGATATATTCTAAATTACGGTAAAATCAAAGTATAACAAT